ACAGTACTGGGCCCTCTATAGTGCAGGGGTGTGTCCAGAAATTTTGCCTGCACTATAGCATGCACCTGCACTATTCAGAATAGTGCGTCAATAGTGCAGGTTCGGCGCTATTGAGGCTTTGAGTATATTATACCTCAATAGTGCAGGTCCGGCACTGTTGAGGAGATGCTTGATTTCATGGTGCAGCGCTCATGCGTCGCGGGGCTAACAGAGTACGAAATGGATCGAATTACAGTAGTGCTGGGCACTGTTCTAGCGTGGGTGTGGGCAGGCTGTCCTGCGACCCGTGTGGTTCCCCCCTGTCGCACACAGAGATGTAGAAAAATTACGTGAATGTTGAATCGTTACTTTCTTCCTGTCTCAGCACTCGTACTACTGCACACCGTGAACTGTAGCATGACCCAATCCTTCAACATAAATACTTAGTGGGCGAAGCAATATCTCAGTCCTCGCCGCCCTCGTTCGATGTTGCAAGATAAAAAAAAAACACGCCAGGAACCGCACTACAAGGAAACAAACAACCACTAGACTACTGCTACAGCTGCAGACGATGTAACCCCGTCCTCACTACGTCGAGAAACATTCTCTCATGTCTGCCTGGCGCATCCATCAACTTCAGAATCTCAAGCTTCGTGTTGTTGTCCGGCCGCGCGCGAGATCCAGATCCCTTCTTACTCCCCGCCTTTGCTTTCTTCGGGCGTGCGTTTAGATTGATGGTCCCGCCCCAGCACCCTCAGCTGGTGTCGCTTTGCGCTTGCCACCCTTGGCGACGCACTTGCTGCAGATGCGGTGCTTTTCGTCGTCCTCAAACATGCTGCCGCAATTGCCGTGGAGTCGCCCGCCACACCCTCCCTTGCAGACGGGGCCATGAGGGGCTTGCGGCGTTCTGCTTGTTGATGGCGGCACAGTTCACCGTCCGCACAAGGCTTGTTGCGTCCCTGCGTGAGCTTTCGGGTCTGCAGCAGCACGTGTACCCTGGTTTCTGTGTTGCGTCTGTCCGCTGTCTTATCCGTGTGTGTTTTTTTTACTAGCATCGACCTCGCTAACCGGCTGACCAATGAAAATACGCCAGCCAGTGCGATTGAAAAAATAAAACACTTCTAGACTAGTCTAAATGTCAGTAGCTGGGACGCCATGAAGAGGCGGCTTGGGGGGGGGTAAGCTATTTCCGGATCAAAGACAGAAATGGTAGCTACAGCAGATTTGCATACATGTATATATATATTATATATATATATATATCGTACGTGTCGATGAGGGCTGCTACCTTGCACTCTAGCTCGTTTTGGATTGTCACCGCCATCCTCCTTCTTCCAACTCCATCATCCTCACTATCGTTTGTGTGTGTGTCCAACCTGCACTGGGGCACCGCGGTGCCCAACCTGCACTACAGCGGGACTGCCCTCAATAGTGCAGGTTCTGCACAATTGAGGGCGCTGTCTGTGTCCAGAGATTTCACCTGCACTATACCGGGCACCTGCATTATTCACCCTGCACTATAGAGGGCCCAGTACTGTACCGACAAAATCATCCGCAAACAGCATTCCTGAAACCGACGTTTCCGTGTCCCCTATTTTTACTCCCTTCCGGACTGCCTCTACAACTTCCAACAGATCGTTGATGAACACCTGGAACAATGTTGGGGACAGCGTGCAACCTTGTGTGGGACCCCCTGCTCAATGCCGAAGAATTTAGACAGTTCTCCGTGTAGCATGACCGCGCTGTTCGTACACTCTGTCATCTTCTTCAGCACTCTCCACATTTTCCCCTTGATCCCGTACTTGGACAGTTGTTTACACAGCCCATTTCTCCATACGGTATCGTATGCCTTTTTCACGTCCAGGAAGAAGCAGTACGTCGGCGTTCCCGCCCTCTTTCTACCTTGGATGATTCTCC